CGTGAACCCCACAGAAAACAGAAAGTCTGTGGTGTTCGAAATGACAAACAAGTTGTGGTTTTATTTAAAAAAAAAAAAATATACAAATGAGCAAGCATTGATATACCAACGACCAAGTGTTACAAGAATTATAGGCTTAAAAAGGTATGTCTCAGATTAATCCCTAATAACAAACACTTGCATTCCACAATATTTGGTAATTTAACACACTAGGGACTGAACTATGACAAGCCCTAAAAATAACTAATTCAAACTACTGCCCTTAAAATAAAAAATACCACCAAACTTTTCATTGTTGTCTCCTGTTGCATATTGCAGACCTTCTCGATATTGAATTTTTCCTTTTCTGAAAGGAAAGCTATCCTTAGGCGGCTAGCATACTCTAATACAATTAAATGACATAAATACTGTTGTTGTCAAGCACAAATGAATTGCTGCACTGACATTTCATCACGTAGTTAGCTTAAAAAAGAGTCATCACAGGAACTGTATTTCAGAAACAGTTTCAATAGTAGTTGAAAATATAGAGACCTATTGCCAAGTTACTGCTAAACTCATTCTCACTTCCTCCAAAAAGAGCGAGCACAAAGCTTTGCTATTAACGGTTGACTTGAAAACTACTATGCTGCCCATACTTTAAGAAAAAATAAAACAGAATTAAGAGAAAGCCATTAGCAATTTTGCCTGCAATCTAAAACACTGTCATACAATAAAATCCTATAGTCTAGATCCATACACCCAGACTTACGTGGGTATTAAGACGATAGGACATGAGTTCAAACTCTCCATCGGGCGGAATGAAGGAAATCGTCCTGTCGTTTTCAAAGCGAGAGAGACGAACACACTGGTGAAACTTTACATCTTCCAGTTCTACTGATTTACTTTTGCCACCTAGCAGAGAATACAGATGTCAAGGCGCTACACAAATTATGTCCCAAGTCTCATCACAGCCAGTTACACAGCAAAGTAGTTGTCTGCTGACACTTTAGCCAATACTTTCTTTAGCTTGCTATAGGTTTTTAGGACTACAGAAGTCCCAGTGAAAAAAAGAGATGAGGAAGCCCAGATGGTTACCATGTATTACCACGGTATTCCACCTTTGCTTGGTATTGTCACACAAGACCTGATATGGTTTTCTACACTCATAAAGGGAGTATTTCTATCATCTTAGAACAAATCCCTTCAGCTGAACCTCAAGCATCCCAAAACCTAAGACTTCAGATAACGTCTTTCACGATCACCGAGATATTGCCAAAATACTCACGGCCTGTATTATCAAAGAGAACTTTGTCGTTTAAACCAAGGCGCAGCTCTGGCATTCCCGAGAGAAAGACTCGCATTTTAATGGATCCAACTATCTCACTCCGTAATACGTTTCCATTGGCACTGACCTAAACAAAGAAGAAAAGAAAGGTAAGGTTGCTGTGATGTGATATGTCATGACATCGAACATTACTCCCACCCCATCCCCATGTCCCAAGTTTTCTTGGATGTCTTTCTCCTGAGAAATTAATCCAGTAGAGTAGAATTAGGTCAGGGAGGTGATGGGCACAGACGGAAGAGGAAAGGAATCACAGAATCGTTTAGGTTGGAAAAGACCTCTAAGATTATCGAGTCCAACCGTTAACCCAGCACTGCTAAGTCCACCACTAAACCATGTCCCCAAGCACCTCATCTACACGTCTTTTAAATACCACCAGGGATGGGGACTCAACTGCTTCCCTGGGCAGCCTGTTCCAATGCCCGACAACCCTTTCGGTGAAGAACATACCAGAAATTAGCAATACATTCAAGTAAAGCGCTATTTGTCTACTGGATGTCCTTATGGGTACTCAGTCTTAATGACTGACATTATTTTGAGCATCACAGTACACTAGCCAGAGTCAGTCTGACTTTTTATTGTACCCTTGCAGGTTTTCAGACAATAAGCCCTTTTCAACACTTCTTGTTACAATTCTCATCAAAAGTTAAAGGTACCCACCAAAAGGTTAACAGACTCTATGACATCCAGGAACACTTCATTTTTCCTGTATTTTATCCCTTCTGATCTCCATGAAACAGCGTTCGTAACAGTGGCAGGTGGACGTGGAGCTCCAGTTTCAAGTTTGTGACCTTCCTGAGTGATGTACCTTCACAGCCACATAATTGGCATGAAAAAATAAAAATTAATTTTTTTGATAACTAGACCAAGCCGGAACATTTGTTGGCGTATGGAAGAATGCTCAAAACTTTCCAAGGAGTTTGTCACTGTAAGTGATGCAGAATGATACTTACTCTTGTAAAATTTTACTATCAGTGGTTTGTGGATAACCAAAATCCATAAGCTCATCTAACAACTCATAAATAATAACAAAATTATCCCTAATGCTCTCTTCTTCCAACTCCTTGAAATATTCAGAAAAAACCTGAAACAAAATGACAGGAGGGAGGGGAAGGAGGAGGACATTAACTGAGGAAGTACAGCGCATTCAGAATGTATTCTTGCATCTAAAATAGTAATTTTTAAAAAGCCCCAAACCAAACCCCATACTTCACAAACAGCATTCTGTTTGAAGATTAGCCTCAGGAAACCCACCTCCATTAAAAGAGACCTAGAGAATCCTAGAAGCAACTCTAACTATTATAAAAAAATATTTCTTCTGGAGAAAATATTTTTCATGCCAGGTACAGATGAACCAAACAGAGAATCTATATGATATGCCACTACTCATGCATCAAGTCCACAATTCTCCTCTGCGTTCTCGGGTCTTGTGCAACTACTTACAGCGTTGTGTCACATCCTTTGCCTACTCAGCTACAAAATATCAATTCCATTATTAGTGGTTAGGAAGATAGTTCTACAAAATAATCAAATATAAAGTAAAAACACTATTACCATAGAGTTCTTTAAAAATGTGAAAGCTCTACGCACTTCTATTTAGATCAGATTTAGACTGAAGTGAAAAGAAGAGGGAGGTGACTTTTGAAATTTCATACTCACCTGAACTACTTTATATAAAAATGAAAACACCAGTGATACACACGCATTTTTCTTAGAAGTTGCAACAACTGATAAAGGATGTTCAGGAACGGGCATTCAAAGTCACCATTCGCAAAAATGTTTACCAAGTGCATTTTTAAAAGCCTTTAGGCAATTAGAGTTGGCCAAAAAACCTAAGAGTTAATTAATTAACAGTACCTCTGGTCTAATGAGATACGAAGCATTCAGGAAATAATTTATTAGAGTAAAATTAATATAACCACTTTTCTGCACCCAACGCTGCCGGTGCACGTTACACTATATAAAGCATAAAATGACTTTATTTAACAGAGCCTCCTTACGCCACTTCACCCATTCTCTAGCTTTGCATTTAGACACAAACAACGAAAATAATACGGCAGCACTTGGCCTATCAACCTATGCGAGCTATCTGCAGTATAAAGGATACGATATAGGTTGTTATGTTTAATCCACATAAAACGAACTCCTCCATGTGCTAGAATCGGAGAAAGCGTCCCCTCTTCTTCCTTTTCCATAAGGATTGGCATAAAATGCTCCACCTCTGACATGTCCACATCTCCACGGTAATTCCGACAGATGAGAACCTATAAAGAGAGGAACAAAATCCTTGCATTTTTTTCTCTTTCATGAGATGATGTTACCAGGCAAGACTAACGCACAAGATATTTGGAAGGCCTCTTCAAGTAACTTTAAAAAAAAGTCACCAAGCTTCACTCTAGCCCCTATGCATAGTGTAAACGCGAATCACAATGCCAAAATACTTTGCTGATTAGAATGCAAATCCTAATCTTCCATTGCAAAGTCATGTATCGATATTTTCCAGAGTTAATCTTCACCTGTTGCTGCACACGCCCCAATAACGCTTTTAAGATGGGAACACACGCAACTCCTCCGAGCCAGGCTACGCATAGTGTAAACGCAAATCACAATGCCAAAATACTTTGCTGATTAGAATGCAAATCCTAATCTTCCATTGCAAAGTCATGTATCGATATTTTCCAGAGTTAATCTTCACCTGTTGCTGCACACGCCCCAATAACGCTTTTAAGATGGGAACACACGCAACTCCTCCGAGCCAGGCTACCTCCGATCGCGGCAGCGGTTCCTTACCCCAGGTGG